CCTGCCTCAGCCACTTAAAGTGCTGGGATTACAGGCGTGAGTCACCGTGCCAGACTTCTCTCATTCTGTGGGTTGTCTTTTCACTGTTTTGATGGCATCTTTGAAGCACAAAATATTTTAATTTTGATAAAGTCTAATTTATCTTTTTTGTCACTTTTGGTGTAGTGATTATGAAGATTTACTCCTACATTTTCTATTAAGTATTTTATGGTTTTCTCTCTTACATTTAAGCCTTTGCTCCATTTGGAGTTAATTTTTGTGTCTAGTGTGAGGAAAGTGGTCCAGTGCTACTCTTTTGCATGTGGATTTTTAGTCGTCCTGGCACCATTTGTTGAAAAACCTGTTTTTTCCTGTTTAATCGTCTTGGTATCCTTGGTGAATATAGTTGACCATAAATGTAAGGGTTTCTTCTGGATTCTAAATTAAATTTTGTTGATCTATATGTCTGTCATTGGGCCATTACTACTCTGTCTTAAATTCTGTACCTTTCTAGTAAGTTTTTAATTCTGGAAATGCTAGTCTTCCAACTTTGTTTTTCCTTTCAAGGTTTTTTGGTTATCCTGAGTCTCTTACATTTCTTATGAATTTTGGGATAAGCTCTTGTCAATTTCTACAAAAAAAAAAAGCCAGCTAAGATTTTAATACAGATTACACTGTGTATATAGATCAATTTGGCAGTATTGTCATCTTAACAATATTAAGTCTTCTAATCGATGAACTTAGGATAGCTTTTCATTTAGGTCTTCTTCAGTGTTTTTCAATAATGTTCTGTGGTTTTTTCTTTTTTTTTTTATATTGGAATGAGGTCTTTCTATGTTATCCAGGCTGGTCTTTAACTCCTGGGCTCAAGGAATCCTCCTACCTTATCCCTGCAAAATGCTGGGATTATAAGTGTAAGCCACTATGCCTAGCAAGTAAGAATTCTTTAAATATTCTGTGTACAGGCCTCTTATCAGTCATATAATTTGCAAATAGTTTCTCTCATTTTTTTTTTCAGACATGGTCTCATTGTGTTGCCCAGGCTGGAGTGCAGTGGCACAATCACAGCTCACTGCAGTCTGAAACTCCTGTGCCCAAGTGGTCCCTATGTCTCTGCCTTACAACTAGCTGGAATTATAGGCACACACCACCACATCTGTCTAATTTTAAAAGATTTTTTGTACACAGCTGTGACTGTACCACTGCACTCCAGCCTGGGCAACAGAGTGAGACCCTTCTCAAAAAATACGTTTATATATATACATATATATATATATATATATATAGCAATTATGTTTCTATATATTAGCAATTAACCTGAAAACAAATTTTTTTTTTAAATTATATTTACAATAGCATAAAAAAGAATAAAATATTTGGGAATAAGTTTAAAAGATCTATAAAGCTTATACTTTGAAAACCACAAAACAGTCCAGGCATGTGGTTTATACTCATAATTCTAGCACCTTGGGAGACTGAGGTGGGAAAATTGCTTGAGTCCAGGAGTGTGAGACCAGCCTGAGGCAACATAGTGAGACCTCGTCTCTACAAAAGTATATATAATCAATTGTATATTAATCTTGTATTCTGCAACATTTCTAAACTTGCTTATTAGTTCTAATAGTTTTTTTTGTGTGTGTGGATTTTATAGAATTTTCTCCATGCAAGACTGTGTCATCTGCAAATAGAAATAGCTTCACATTTTCTTTGCCGATTGGATGCCTTTTATTTAATTTTTTTTCACCTAATTACCCCAGCTAGAACCTTCAGTACAATGTTGAATAGAAATGTCAAGGGCAAATATTCTCATCTTGTTCCTGAACTTAGGGGGAAAGCATCTGGTCCTTCACAATGTAGTTTTCTGTTGATACCTTTTATCAGATTGAGAAAGTTTTCCCTTCCATTCCTAGTTTATTGAGTTTTCATTATGAAAAGGTGTTGGATTTTGTCTAATGCTTTTTCTGTATCTGAGATGATTATGTGGTTTTTGTCTTTTATACTGTTGATATTTGTCTGTTATATCAACTGATTTTTGGATGTTAAACCAACCTTACATTCCTGTGATGAATCCACATCTTTTTTGGGTGACTCTATTTCATTGGATTATGAGCTCCACCACTGTTAGGGCCAGTGTCCCCAGGGGCAGGCGGGGGTGGGTATCCCTAAGTCTCTCTTTATTCTGCTCCTTCATTCCCCTGAGTTCCCCTCTTCTATCTGCAAAGACAAATACGGGAAGCCAAGGCAGAAGGTGATCATCACCAGCTGTGGGGAGTAGATGTGATCCTCTCTGCTCTCCACTCTGCTCTTACCCTTGCACGTCCAGGAAGGAGCTGCCAGCCTCAGAGGAGACAGCACCAAGGGTGCCCTGTTTGAAGCAAGCAGCATTTGTGGCATGAGGCCTGCCTCAGGGTCAGCTTGGAGCACCTCTGCAGGCACAGCATGGACTGTTCCCAAGTGCAGCTGTGGGCCTAGGAGCCAGCACAGGTGCTCCTTCACCAACCACCACCATGGGCAGACTGTTTGTGGCCACAGGCTTTTTCTGGCATTTGCTGCCAGGTCTGCTGTGGGCCCACCAATGTGGCTCCTGGATGTTTTATTCTGTTTGGTTTGCCGAAATAAATCCTAGTTCTTATACTGCTGCCTGCCAGCCAGGTCCCAGGTGTTTTCAGAGGTTGCACTGGGCATCTCTGCTGCTGCTCTTCTCTTTTAGGCCAAGTCCCTTAGGGGATGCTCTCATTAGCCCATTCTGGGGCAGTAGAAGGCAAAGCCATATAAAAGTACCTCTGTCTTCTCTCTCTGGTTGGTTACCATTTCTGCTGTCACACTAGCTGGTCTTGTGCCTGATGGGCACCTGTAATCAGTCTCACTCACCTGCTCTCATTATGCACTCCCTAAACCAACAACTATATTACCAAGAATCACCCAGGGCCCTTCTTTAGACAGCGGATGTGCTTGGTGCTGGGGAGAAACAAGCAGGGGTGGGTCCCACCTCCTCCCTGACCCCAGGCCTATCTAGAAATTGCAGTGTGGTGCCATGGTGTGCAACCTTGCTAGGATGGCTCTCACCTTGTACCAGTTTTGGGCCAGCCAGACCACTTCATGGCATCTTTCAGGTGCTGAGGTTGAGCCCCATCAGTCTCCAAAAGCCTCCCCCAGGAATGCCCACTGGCTCCCATGACATGTCCCAGGAGCTCTGTCTGAATCAAGTCTTTTTTTGTTTTCTTTTCAATATGGAGTTTCGCTCTTGTCACCCAGGCTGGAGTGCAATGGCATGATCTTGACTCACTGCAACCTCTGCCTCCTGGGTTCAAGGAATTCTCCTACCTCAACCTCACAAGTAGCTGGGATTATAGGCACCTGCCACCATGCCCAGCTAATTTTTGTATTTTTGGTAGAGACGGGGTTTTGCCATGTTAGCCAGGCTGGTCTCGAACTCCTGACCTCTGGTGATCCACCTGCCTCGGCCTCCCAAAGTGCTGTCTGAATCAAGCCTTGATGTTGAGAATCCACCAGGGTGAGGGTGGTAGGGAAAGGAGAAGCCTATTGCCCTGGCCCCAGTGACCCCCGGCCAGCTCCACCTCTGGCACCCTGGGTGGGGCTTCTCCCCCTTGATCAGCTTTGGCCTGCATCGTTCCCAGCAGGCACTCTCCTCAGTGTTGACATCATGTTACTGGTGGTCAGTCATGGCTGTCAGGACAGGCAGCATTGAAGCCAGGATAAGGCCAGCTACCCAGGGCTGCCATGAAACCCAGGAGAGTATAGGATGTGTGTAAAGTGCTCAACATAGTGGGTTCTGGGGCTGGCCCAAGGCCCTGAGAGGGAGGACTGGTCCCACAGCCCTGTGAAACAAGGGAGGACCTTATTGCTGTGCTTGCCTGATTACCCTGGGAAGGAGGGATCAAGGGACCAGCCAGAGAGGCCAGTGGGAGAGGAACCTTCAGGTTTTCCCCAGACATTATCCCAGTGGGTCCACCTGTGACCCTTGTATTGTGAGGTCACCTGGGCCTCAAAGGTAAGACGCCTGCCCCTGCTTGTGCCAAGTGCTACCCAGAGGAGGAGAGGAGATTATTGGTCCAAGGATTCCAGACCAGTGGGCAGACTCGTGGCCACACGATCTGGGCACTGGGCTGCCTGCCGCCCCATGGGAGCCCCACCCCAGCCTCTGAGGAAGGGAACGCAAGACAAGACGTATGAGGGAGAAGCTAAAGCAGAACTCGAGGGCTGGAATGCTGCTAACAATTATGTTTTGAAAGAACATTTAATAACAGAAACTTTCAAAATGTTTCATTCATTGAATAAATCAGATCACCAAGCAGTGCAGAGAGTAGGATCCTAACTTTATAAAGTGTCTTATGTCATATATAAAGAAAAATCTATATGTGCCAAGAAAAAAGACTGGAAGGAATTAGGAGCAGTGGTTCTCTCTGATTGATTATGGGTGTTGGTATTCTGGTTTTTGTTATTTTCTCTGTGATTGATTATGGGTGTTGGTATTCTGGTTTTTGTTATTTTCTCTGTGATTGATTATGGGTGTTGGTATTCTGGTTTTTGTTATTTTCAAAATTTTCCCCAGCACACAGGTAGTTTTCTTACATGAGGAAAAACATTTGTTAAAAGTAGGGAACAGCAGCTATTTGCTCAAGGCTTTCCAGTAAGGAAAGGAACCTGGAGTAGAAAGCACCCCCTTGAGCTTCCCACAAAGGCAAAGTTAGGTGCCAGCCACACTCACTACAGGGCCAGGGGAGGGCCACACATCTGCCACTTCCCCAGCAGAGACCTTAGCACGCGGGTCACTGCCGGTTCAGACTCCTTCCACAAGCAGGTGAGGGTGCAGGGCCACACCTCATGCAAGAGATGACCACGTTTAGGTTTTTGAGGAAAAGCACAGCTCTCAGGTAAATACAGCAGTACTTCCAAGCACATTCTGGGAGGAGTGGGTTTTATGAGGAAGGCACACAAGGGAGGCCCAAATTGCAATCCATTTAAAACGAGCCTGCTCAGAATTGCTGTTTATTCCACAGGTTTGCACAGGCATGGCTCCATGTGTCCCATGACACATTTGACCCTCATGGAGGCCTCAAAAGGGCAAGACCAGCATCCTCTTCTACAGAGGAAGGAGTGGGTGCAGCAGGTACATGATGTCAAATTAACAAGAGGCAGAGGCTGGGTACAGTGGCTTTTGCCTATAATCCTAGCACTTTGGGAGGCTGAGGTGGGAGGATTGCTTGAGCTCAGGAGTTCAAGACTGGCCTGGGCAACATAGTGAGGCCTGGTCTCTATAAAAAAATAAAAAATTAGCCGGTGTGGTGGCATGTGCCTGGCGTCCTAGCGCCTCAAGCTGAGGTGGGAAGATTGCCTGAGCCCAGCAGGTCAAGGCTGCAGTGAGCCATGATACAGCCACTGCACTCCAGCCTGCGTCACAAAGTAAGACCCTGTCTCCAAAAAAAAAAAAAAAAAAAAGGCAGAGCCAGGACTTGATGCCAGGTCGACTTGGTTCCAAAACCTACCCTCTCCTTTTCACAGACCCCTTTCCCATGAAATAATAGGGAATTTCTCTAAAGCACATCGCCCAGGTCCCTACGTAAAGACAAAGAAACAGGACTTTGCACACTTGGTGGCATCAGGGCCAGCCCTGCATTGCAGTGTGAAGATGGCCACTGGGGTGGGGAAGCTGCTCTGCACTGAATGGCCCCAGAACCCCTGTCAGTGGCTACTTGTCGCTGACAGTGGGCCTGAGCTGACTACTCTTATTTATGCTCCTGATGTGTAGCCTTGAATGTATCCTGGGGGTGGGAGACAACCAGGCCAGATGACCTTGGTAGCTGAGCACTGACCCCTCATCAGCTGTGTGTCCATACACCCTCCTCCTTTTCTGAGGCCTTGTCTATGTGATGTCATTTGGTGGCTGTCTGGGTGGCTAAAGATGCTAGAAGTCTGGCCACCAGGAAGGCCACGACTGTCACTTTCTGCTTTGCTGCTGAAAAGAGAGTCCCGTCACGATCCTCAGGCCTGCTCTGCACACCTGATGGGCATGGCAGTGTTTGTGTCTTGAAAACATTCATTTCACAAACTCTTAGCATCCCCAAACTCTGCCAGTTTACATACTGGGCACTGAGAAGACCAAACATTTGTCAGTTTCCAAAACTCTACTGCCCAGTATTGGAAGAAGAGAGCTGTTAAATCAGGTCTTGCAGTGGCAGCCGGGCCATCAGGCCATGTCTCAGGCTCTGGGAGAAGGTCATGGGGCAGATGGGCTCTCTGGCTGGAAGAGCCTTTGGAATGAAAGAGTCCCATGTCCTCATGTTGCCAATGAGAAACTGAAGCGTGAATAAGAAAGAGGACTTGTCTTGACATCAAGTCAGTGGCTGAGTTGGAACCAGAATATCTGTCTCCTGACATTCAGGCCAGTGCCTCTTCCAGTCCCTGCTAGCTGAGCTTGAAGCGCTAGACTAGTAAGGAACTCACTGTTTCCAGACAGCCTGGGCCCACCCTTTGCATACATGGAAGGGTCTCATACTCTGCACTTGCACACAGAGGCCCTCCTGCTCTGAGTGGAGGGGCTGCTGTCCCACAGCATGGCCCCAGCCACTACCCCTGCTGCCAGACCAGCTCTCCCTAGCCCCATCTCTGGGGTGCAGCATGTGAACTCCAGAGAGGTGCATCCTTGGGCACATGGGAGGTGGAACCACCCTGACGGGCTGTGCCTGTGGATGTGACGGGCCCAAGATCTGCTTTTAATGACATGGTTTGGGCAGCTGGACTCTGTCTGTTCCAGCAGGTAAATTACAGGCTTAGCAAGTCAGAAATCAAATAAACACTCCAACTCCCAGTGGCAGCTCCAAGGAGTACAGTGGTTTCCGGGAACAGTGGAGGCTGAAACAAACCTCCCCACCCAACTCAGCCTAATTACTGCCTGTCACTCCGTGGGACAGGGACCTTTTCTTTGACTCATAGCCCCAAGACACAGTACAGTGCTGCTGGGCACCCAGGGTGACGCCGATTTTGGTGACCAGCTTGTTCTTAACTCCTAGACACAAGCAAACGCTGGCAATCCCCACCCTTGCCCCATGCCTGTCCGGAGACTGCCAGTCACCCTGCTCTGAATGGAATGGATTGCTCCATAGGGGAGCAGTAGGGGGAACTCAGGTCTTGTTGACAGTGCCTGGTGGTGGCTGTCTGCAGTTCTGTGCTGAGGCCCAGAGGCCCTGTCCAGGTTCAGTGGGAAAGGTACATAGGTTGATTACTGACATTAGCCATGGGCAATGGGTGCTCTGTACCAGCCTGGAGCACACATCGCAGCTGCTGGACTTGCCTCTCTGTCTCAGTGCTGAGCTCTGAATAGCTCAGCATGGTGGAGATGGCTAAGGGAACTGGAAGCCCCCAAGATTCTTTGCTCCTCTGGGAGTCATACCTCTTTCCCAGGCAGGAGAAGGAGGAGGCCCAGGGCAAGGGAAGACACATGACATAAAATATTCCCAGTGGTCGGGTGCAGTGGTTCACACCTGTAATCTTAGCACTTTGAGAGGCCGAGGTGGGCGGATCATGAGGTTAGGAGTTCAAGACTAGCCTAGGGGGAAACCCTATCTCTACCAAAATACAAAATGAGCTGCGCTTGGTGGCGAGTGCCTGTAGTCCCAGCTAAAAAAAAAAAAAATCCACGGTGGTGGCTTCATGAGGACCTCTAGCTTATTCTTTTCCTAATATGCTAACTGCGGCCTGGACCAAATTAGAAAAATCCAAGAACACACTGTACTGAGAACATGTGCATGCCCAATTATGCCCAGAAATGCCCGTGTTGTCCCTGGGAAGGGACAGAGCCCTTCTCCCCACCCCAAAATCCTGTGGTAGATGATGGTGCACAGCTCACGTCAGCCAACCTCAGACCATCCAGGGCCGGCCACAGTCTGACAGGTCCTAAGATAGGACTTCTGTGCTGACAGTACAGTCAGCACAGGCTCCAAGACTGCTGTTTACCTTAGGCCACCAAAGTGTCAGGCAGGGTGACAGCCACAAACCCCAGGGGAGAGGCACAGAGGGACCTCGAAAGGACCAGAAGCCTACAGAAAGTAGGCACAGAAAGTGAGGGCCCCTGACACTCCTGCTTGAGCTGTGACAGCACTGAAGGGTTTCCTGCTTCCGAGGGGCCCAATCCGATGAGAAGGGCGGGCGGGCTGGGCTCAGTGGCAGCCGCAGGCCTTGACCACCATGTTGCGCTTCTTGCGCAGGATGACGTTGTTGCTGCTGTCATAGTAGAGCACGGAGGTGGCGCTCAGCTTGGTGGGCGCACAGCACGCCTTGGGGACTGTATCTGGCTTCATCAGGTGCACCTGGCCAGGGAGAGGGCACAGGCAGGGGCATGAGCCCACTTGCCGCCTCCAAGGACTCACCCAGCCCCACCCCAGCTCCACCTGCTCCCCACCCTGGCCATCTCCAGGCCACATGGGAGCAGCACAATAATAACTATTCACAGGAATAAGAACAGCCCTCTGGGCTCTGGGAGCAGGAGCTGTGGTGACCAGCAGTGCCCAGGGAGGGACACATGGTAGGAGGTGTGGGGCAAATGGGCAGGGCACTAATGAGGGGCCTCGAGTCCCAGGCCAAGGGCTCAGAGTTCCTCCTGCAGATGATGGGAAGGAGAACCACATGGCCAGGTTTGTGCCTTAGTGAGGTCCCCGATGGGGAGCCTGGAAGGACCACTTCCTTCTTTTGGCCCTTTAGACCTAGAGGCTCTGCCTCCCATACCCCACCTCCCTCCCCAGGCTCTTGGAGCCCAGGTCTTGATCCCTCTCCTGTGCTTCTCTCCAGACTTTCAGATCCTGCTCCCCTCCCCACTTCTGCACTTAGGGTCTAACAGGGCCTCGCAGAACACCAAGTTCCTCTCGCCCTGACATCACAGCCCTACCTGGAAGGCCTCCTGGATGCCTCCTCTCCCCTTCTCCCTTCCCTGGGAGCAGCCCCTGACTCAACCTCCACCTCTGTGCTGACTCAGGCCACCTGCCCAGTCCAGCTGCCATCACCTGCCAGGTGACCACAGCAGCCCTCCTCCCCTGCTCCTCTGCCTTCCACTCCTCCCACCTTCAGCCTCCCCAAGCCAGAGAGGTCATCCTGGAGGGTGACATGGACCATGACACTGCTTTGCTAAAGACCTCCGACAGCTTCTCAGGTTGCTTGGAAAAAAATCCACACTCCTTCCCAGGGACCCCAGACTGGGAGCCGGCCCTGCCCACCCTGGCATCACTTCCCTCCACCCTTCCTCCCAGTCACTACACCTAACCCCTCCTCCCTGCTGGCCCTGATCTTAGGACCAGCTTGTTCCTGTCTTAGGGCCTTGCACTTGCTCTTTCTGCTGGAACATTCCTCCTCCAGCTGCCCCCTCCTTGTGTGGAGAGGCTGGGCCCAATCTCCCTCCACTGATGGGCGGCCTGCTCTGCTCTTCCTCACAGGAGGCATCAGCTCTGTGGATGGTTCGCTTCCGTGCCCACCGAGAGCCTCCCTTAGAGCACAGTGCCTGATTGCTTCCCAGCAGCTTGTAAATGCTCACTTTAGTTTGAGCCCCTGAGGGGTAGGGGCAGAGGGGATAGAGTCCAGGAGTTGCAGGTGCAGTCACATCCCCATACATGCAGCCGTGAGAACCACACAGCATAAAGGGTGGCTGGGCCGGGCTGCCCTTTCATCACCCCTGAGCCTTTCAAGGAGGGCACTCCAGGTGTCCAGCAAACACCATTTGGCCACCCAGAAAGTGTTATCATAGGCTCAAAGCAGCTTTTGGTAATTCCTTTCCTCTCATGCCAATGCATTGCCTTTCTGTGTGTATGTGTGATTTTTTTTTTTTTAAATTTTTATTTTAGAGGGAGGGTTTCACCATGTTGCCCAGGCTGGTCTCGAACTCCTTGGATTATAGATGTGAGCCACCGTGCCTGATCAAGGCTTCGCCTTTGAACCTCCTACAAGAAAACCATAAGGCTGTGGAATACCAGGAACTAAGATTCTAGGTAAAAATTTCTAGAAGGAAGCCTGGGTGCCAGAGTCTGCAAACACACAGAGCACTCAGCAGTGAGCAGCACCAGTGATCCCATCAGAAGCCACTTTCATCATTTAAGGTTGTCCCAGACACCAAGGCACCAACAGCCTGGGGATCTGGAGAAAAAACAAACGGCCAAGAGAGAAACAGGGAAAAGCCAAAGGGTTGAGAGCCACACCATCTAGACGCTCCCTGCCTGCGGTGTGGCACAGGTGGGTGAGTGCACATGCACATCCCTCATGCTGTGCGACATATCCTAGGTGGGCAGACTTACCAGTGTACTCAGGTGCCCGCGTGTTAAGATCACAGTCCCCACATGGTGTGTACGTCCATTTCATGTGCTGTGCCTCTGTCAGTCTGCGCACCGCACACAGGTGCATAAGTGTCCCACAGGAGCATGTGCAGTGAGTTGAACAGGCGCATGTACACGGCTGTTTAGTGTCAGTGTGGGGTGTGTCTGTGTTCAGGTGTGAGTCTACATGGGCTAGCATGGCTGTATGAGGACCAGGTCCTGCAGAGCTGTGGGAATTTTGTGATATTACTGACTCCGTGCAGAGGAAGCTCCCTGAGACACGGAGCAGGTGCCCTCCTAGCTGGCTGGACCAGACCCCTCTCCGCAGGGCCCCCCACCCCAGAAGGCTGGGTAGGACAGGCATGGTACTGACCAGGGACTGCAGGATGGCATGGTTGGTGGCGTTCATGCAGGAGCCCAACGGGAAGGAGCACTCACCCTCACAGTAATAGGCCGAGTACCCTTGCGGGGCGATGATCCAGTCCTGGGGGTCATGGGAGAAGGTGAGTCCCATCCATGTGCCCCTCTCTGAGCCTTGGGCCCAAACCTACCCTCCACCCCTGCAGGGCAGTATCCCCCAAGAGGCCTGAATCCATCCAGGAACCCCCAGCAGATGCTAGGCAGGAGCTCAGGCCCGACATCCCCCATCCTCACTCTACATCCCTCCCTAGCCGGCCCTCCCTGCCAATGCCTCCCAGAGCTGCAGTCGCAGCGCAGCGGCAGCCGCAGCCAATGCAGAGAGGTCTCAGTTTCCTTGTGGCGATGCTGACAGCTTAGTTCGTTGATTCAGTCTTTATTTGCATGGTTAAAAAAAAAAACAAAAACAACACACCCTTTCTCACCAAGTTCTCACTTTAGAAAACTTGGAAAACACAAAGACAAAAAGACCGCCCATGATTCTTTGTCCTCCCTGCAGATTCCCTTCTGCTCCACAGGTGGCGATTGTCATTTCAGAAACCAGGACAAGAGGCAGCACTTACCAGCCAGCCGAGGTCCTGGAAGCTGACGTAGAGCTCGTGCCGACGGCAGACCTGCCGGCCATGGGAACCGTGGACATCATCTGTAGGGACAGAAGGGACAAGGTCTTTTCTGGGGTTCCTGCTCTGTGCAGCTGCTGCGGGTACCAGGGTGGAGGACCCCCTGATGAACACATTTGTCAAATGAATAATAGGAAACTATTTGGTCTCATAAAGCCCATCCCTGGAACTCTGCTTGTACCATGACCCAGCTCAAGAGCCTGCCATGGCTCCCAATGGCTAGAGTGACACTGTGCCCAGCCATCCTTTAGCCTGTGAGCGTCTTGACGCTCCAGTAAACAGCCCAGAAGGACCCTCGGCCATCTTGTGCCTCCTCCTCCTCCTCTCTGGAGAACCCTGTGACTCCAGCCCACCCTCTCCTGCCACACCCATTCCTCAGGTTCAGGTGGCTTACAACCAGGCCAGTCAAGGGCCGACTTCCTGGGAAGGAGGGCACAGGGTCAAGTCAGGCCTGTCCCTGATCCTGAAGGGCTTGGCCCAGTTGGGGAGAAAACATTGCATAAGTAGCGGAGGGTCCTGCAGGGTGCCCGGGCACAACTGCGGGCCACGAAGGGCTGTGGCGCCCAGGGAAGGGGCAGCTGATTCTGATGGAGGCTCCTGGGAGAAACCTGGAGGAGCCAGGGGAGGGAGAGAAGGGGCCTTCTGGGTGGCAGGGACAGCCAGGACAGGCCTCTGGAGTGCCAGTCACCAGGGTGCATCAGGGCAAAGATGGTGTCAGGGAAGGGGGCTGGAGAGGGGCCATCAGCTTGAACCGACCTCAACCCGAGGGCTCTGGGCCACCACCTAGTTCTCCCCCTGCTTCTCTCAGCCGGAAGCCTGCAGGGCCTCAGCCCCAGCCCACCCAGCCCTCACCAAAGATGCCTGGGAGTCGGCTGTCCTGCGGCAGCTCGTTGGTTTTCTTCGGCTGCCTCCTCCTCAGTGGCCTCACTGCCCGAGGGGTGCGGACGGGATTCTGACTGGCCCTGAAGAAAGTGACCACAAAAGGCTGTCGGGAGCGTGGGGCCCGTTGGCCCAGCAGGCCGGCCAAGCCAGGATCCACATTGTGCCCTGAGACAGAAAGGAGAGAGGGGTCACTCATAGGCAGTGGGCCTGCAGCAGACACAGCAGGGATCTCTCTGCTGGGCCTGGGCAGGTCCAGGAGTGTGGAGGCTGAGGACCCCAGGGACCCTGCTGAGCCTCAGTTTCCACATCTGAAGCCTGGAGCCCTTGGTCCAGCTCTGGCCAGTCGACATGTCTCCTGGGGCAGATCTGGAGGAGGTTGGGGTGGGGCTCAGGGCTTGGTGAGCTGCAGGCGGCGTCATTAGTGACAGCTGTGACACAGACATTTGTGACGCGCTCTACTAGTTTGAAGATTTTTCCCATGGATCACCTCACTGGGTCCTTAGAATAGCGCTGCAGCTCCTGCCTCCCAGGAGACGGAGTCCCACTGACAGTGACTCCCAGAACTGGCGCTCCAACCGGTTTGAGGACCCTGAGGCTTGTGTTGTGTCTTCTGTTCCACACTTTCTGGGGTGTGAATGTCAAATTATGACTGAGACAACTCATGGCAGCATCTGCCAGATTTAGCAAGCGCTTGCTCCCCTGGGCACAGCCCAAGAGCAGGGCATTAACTATCTCCCTGATGCCCACAAGGGAAACACCAGGCTCCGTGGAGCAGAGACATTGGAACCAAATCCCAGAGCCCAGAGTTTAGCCTGCAGTGTCTCATTCCAGAGCCCAAGTTCTTAAGCATGAGCTGGGTTTATAGAGAAGGAAAAGAAAGAATAGAAGAGAAAAGGAAGGGAGAGAAAGAAAAGGAAAGAAAGTGGGGAGGGAGGAAGAGAAGGAAGGAAGGAAAAACTGAAGCAGAGAAGGAAGGGATGGGGGCGGGGGAGGGCTGGCTGAAGCAGCTAACTTGGGCCTCAGCCCCAGGAGGAGCAAAGTCTGTATCAAGGGATTGTTCCCCCACAGCTGCTTCCAGACTGAGGATGCCGCTAAAAACATGGTAACTAACCCTGGAGACGCCAATCTCACCAATAAACCTGTGCATCCTCCTGCACTTGTTTGGATTTCAATAACCTTTCTATTGTAAAAGCAATTAACCATGGTAAAGAAAGTTTTGAAAAAAAAAAATACCATTTTAAAGACCTTTCAACTCCCATACATTTTCACTTTTCTGGGCTATTCTATTTTCATTATGTAAATTTAAGTTTTCCACAAATTTGGAAAGGTGTCCTCATTTTTTTTCAACTTTCAAATAGCCGGTTGTGGTGGCTCACACCTGTAATCCCCGCACTTTGGGCAGCTGAGGCAGGAGGATGGCTTCAGCTCTGGAGTTTAAGACTAGCCTGGGAAACATAGACTCCATCTCTACTAAAAACAAAAAATTAGCTGGGTGTGGTGGCACAAGCCTGTGGTCTCAGTTACGTGGGAGGCTGAGGCAGGAGGATTGTTTGGGCCCAGGTGGCTGAAGTGAGCCATGTTTGCGCCACTGCACTCCAGCCTGGGTGACAGAGCAAGACCCTGTCTCAAAACAAATTTAAAAATAAATTTTGCTGTTTAAAAGTCTCCACAGTCCAGGCACGGTGGCTCACCCCTGTAATCTTATAGCACTGTGGGAGCCCAAGGCAGGCAGATCACTTGAGGTCAGGAGTTCGAGACCAGCCTGTGACATGGTGCAGAAATTAGCCAGGCGTGGCATGTGCCTTTAATCCTAGGCAGAGGCAGGAAAATCTCTTGAACCCGGGAGGTGGAGGTTGCAGTGAGCTGAGATTGCACCATTGCACTCCAGCCTAGGGGACAAGAGTGAAACTCCGTCTCAGAAAAACACCTCTACAATAAACATTTCAAATGTATAAAACCCTTGGAGCAGTACACCGTAATTTACTTGATTTTAGCTCATCATCAGACACACGGGTCACTTCCTGGTTTTCAGGATAAAGATGGGAGTGCAATGGGTGAAATTTCCTGATGCTGAGTTGCAGAAGCACGATCGCCAGCTCATTTTCACAGCTCTTTAAACAGTGCTGGTTGTTCAGTTTACATGAGGACACATTTCACCTCGTTACAAGCACAGATGTACGCATGTATGTACACGCATGCATATATGCGTGTCTGTGTAAATACAGATGTACATATGCTTAGACATGACGCATATAGATGTATTTATTCCTACGTGGTTCTCCAGTACACCCTACAGGCCAAGGACATTGCCTGCCCCACCCTCAGTCCCACTCAAAGGTCAGCCCTGAAGCAGCTGTGCCTCAGCCCCATTGTCCCTCGGCCACTTGATTGAACAACCAGTGAATCCAGAGACCAATCTTTGACCTATAACATCATCTGCCACAGAAAAATTCGCTGGCAGGAGAGGCTCTCTCTCAGGAGCGTGGACAAGAGCTGCTGAGACGGAGGCTGTGAGCTGCAGGCGCTGACGGGAAGGAGGCCCAGAGAGCAGTGGGCAGAGCTCGGCTCATGGTGAGTCAAGGTTATGGGGAAGCAGCAGAATTACAAGGAACAGAGCTGGCTGCAGAGGAAAAGGCAAGTGAGGCCACAATGGGGAGAGGACAGAGCAGCTGAGTGGGGTGGTGATGGTCACCAGCCCAGGCACAGGAACAGCACTCTGTGGACTGGCTGACACATGGGGACGGCCTGGGGCCCAGGGCAGCCCTCCCGGCTGTATATTCGGCTCTGTCCTGATTCTCTGGGGAGCCCTGGTGGCCATGGGGCCAGGGAGGCCATCAGTCCCACAGGCTTTGCTCACTATTTGCTATTCTGGGGCTGTGTTCAGGAGTCTTATGGGGGTCTCCCAGATGCAGGATAGAATATCACGTTAGATCAGTTACACCACAGACCCTGTGGGCCAGGCCTGGCTTGGGTGCTGGGAACCCCTCTGTAGGTCTCACAGGCTAGGCGAGCCTGACTGGGGACCCTTGGAAGCAGCTAATCCCAGGTTTTCATTTTACAGAAGCGGAAACTAAGGCCCAGAGAGCAGCAACTGTCCAAGGTCCCAGAGCAAGGTGGGATAGAGCCAGGATTGTCATACACTTCCCCAGCAAGCCGCAGGGGACCGGCTGGGTGTGGCTGGGGGTGATGGGAGGTGGTGAAGGGGACTAACAGAGGGTTTTGGTTCAGAGCCCTGCATCTGGCAGGTCTGGAGAAATTCCCTCACACCCACCCCTCTCCTTCTTTGCAATGCTCAAGGAACACAAGGAGGAGCTGATCTGTTTTCCTTGTGTGTTTAATTAAAGTCCCAGCTCTGTAGAGGAGCACAGTCCACCTAGGGAGGAAAATTGGAGGCCAGCAGCAAACCCCTCTTAGCGCTGGGGAAATGTATTCCTGCTGTGACCAATGTCCCCTGGGGAACCTGGTGGGGCCCCCTGAGGAGCGCACCTCCCCACCCAGCTTTGCCTCCCTCAGGGTGCCACCTGCTGCATGGGCTTGAGGTTCGGGCACACAGCAAAGTCACAGCCCGTGCTCTTCCTGATGTCGTCCACGGTCAGGCCCTCCCAGAGCTCCCTCAGTGTCAGGCCTCTCTTCCTGTGCACGTCGAACACAGCCTTCTCCGTGATAATGCGGTTCACGCACCGCTTCCCGGTAAGCGGCATGGTGCATTTCTCCACGATTTTGGGGGTGTTGTCCTTTGCACAGTGCTGCATGGTGACCACCACTCTGGTCTTCTGACTGGACACCAAGTCCATGGCACCGCCCATGCCTTTCACCTTCTTGCCAGGGATCATCCAGTTGGCCAGGTCGCCATATTTGGAAACCTGCATGGCTCCGAGCATGGTTAGGTGGAGGTGTCCCCCTCGGATCATGGCGAAGGAGTCGTCGCTGGCGAAGCAGCTGCCCCCGGGAAGCACCGTGACCGTCTGCTTGCCTGCGTTGATGAGGTCGGGATCCACCTCGTCTTCTGTGGGAAACGGGCCCAGGCCCAGGATCCCATTCTCACTGTGAAGGTGGACGGTCATGTGGGGGCTGATAAAGTTGCTGGCCAGCAGGGGGATGCCTATACCCAGGTTGGCGTACATGCCGTCCTCAAATTCCAGAGCGGCGCGTCTGATGATGCGGGTCCTGGGGTCCTCTTCCTTCAGGGCGCCTGCACCTTCCTCTTTCCGGATCGTTAAGCGCTCAATTCGCTTCTCATATTTCGGCCCCTTTATCACGCGATCTACATAAATGTTAGGGACGTGGATGTCTTCTGGGGGGAAAGTCCCCACGTCCACGATCTCTTCCACCTCCACGGCCGTGACGTTTGCGGCTTTGCACATGGGCACGTTGAAATTGCGGGCGCTTCTCCTGAAGACCACGTTTCCTGCCCGGTCGGCCTTCCAGCCTTTCACCAGGGCGAAGTCCGCCCGGATGGCATGTTCCAAAAGGAAGTGGTCGCCGTGGAACTCCCTCACCTCTCGGGGCTGGCTCATGACCGCCAGGTGGCCATCCGGGGTGTAGCGGATGGGGGCGCCCCCTTCCTGGACCAGGGTCCCGTAGCCCGTGGGGGTGTAGAAGGCGGGCACCCCGGCGCCCCCCGCGCGGATGCGCTCGGCCAGGGTGCCCTGGGGCGTTAGCTCCAGCTCCAGCTCGCCTGCCAGGTACTGCTTCTCGCACAGTGAGTTCTCGCCCACATAGGAGCAGACGATTCGGCGGACCTGCCTGGTGGCCAGCAGGAGGCCCAGGCCGAAGTCCTCCACGCCCACGTTGCTGCTGACCACCTTCAGGTCCTTCACGCGAGTCCTGAGCAGCGCCGCGATCAGGTTCTCGGGGATCCCGCAGAGCCCGAAGCCCCCCATCATGACTGTCGCCCCGTCAGGGATGTCCTTCACCATCTCCACTGGGTCCCTGTAGAACTTGGCGCAGCGCCGGGGGCTGGTGGCAAAGCATCGGGCGCAGCCCTGGAACAGCTCGAGCCCTGAGCGGCAGATGGTGACCCTGCGCCCGAGGGCTGAAACCAGGAGCCACAGCGCCGCCATGGTCGGCCGGGGTCCGAGGCCAGGACAGACCTTGTGAGGCCCGTGTGCGCCGCTGGGGCCCTGCGTCACAGAGCAGGGAGGGCATCCGAGCCCTGACGCACCCCTCCCAGATTCCAGGCCAGTCTCACGACAGGGAGGAGGCTGCTCCCGGCTCCACCCTGTGGTTCCCCAATCCCCACAGGGTGGGGGGGGCGCCGGTCAGATTCCCTCTTGCCCCAGTGGAGCCTCAGACACAAACTCCATCCCCCCTCCCCCAGCTTCCCCAGAGACAAGTACCTACTGAGCAGGCGCTGCTGGGTGACATCTACGGTCATGACCACCCTCCCTGGGCACTCACGCTGTGCCAAGCACCCTCCTTCAATCCTGTGACAACCTGGAGAGTGGGTGCCTGAACCACTGTAGCACACCTCACTGTGACAGCCGGGACACTATCCCTCACCTCCATCAGGAAGGGTCCCTGCTCTAAAGAGGCCCCCCTCTTGTCCTCCTCATCCCCTCCCCCTCCACCTCCCCCACTCCAGCTCCCCTCTCCAGCTCCCCACTCCACCTGCCCCACTCCAGCTCTCCCCTCCATCTCCCTACTCCACCTACCCCACTCCAGCTCCCCTCTCCACCTGCCCCACTCCAGCTCCCCCCTCCACCTCCCTACTCCACCTCCCCGTCTCCAGCTCCCCACTGCACCTGCCCCACTACAGCTCCCCACTCCACCTCCCAACTCCACCTGCCCCACTCCAGCTCCCCCCTCCAGCTCCCCCCTCCAACTCCCCCCTCCACCTCCCTACTCCACCTGCCCCACTCCAGCTCCTAGATCCAACTTGTGCAGAATTTTGCAGTTTTCTTCCCCCTGCTCAGAATCACTCCAATGCCACAGCAGTGAGCAGGCGTCTCCTCACCTGTAAAGGACCTGCCTTGTCTCTGGTTCTCTCCAGCCCCAGCCCTCTCTCTGCTTCCCTTCCCCAGCAAAGGTTCTGGAAAGCACTGTCTCCTGCCCCCACTGCCTGTCTCCCTCCACCTCCCAGTCAGACCCACACTTCCCAGAGATTTGGGTCAACAACCTCAGTGTGGCAAAACCCTCGATCACTTATCTGTCCTTGCCTTCAGTGCCCACGGCAGGACACAAATGACAAACCCTTGCTTCTGGAAACACTTTAATCTGGCGTCTAGGTCACCTCACCCTCCAGGCGTCCTGCTCCCTCTGGGCTCACTGTGGCTCCTCCTTGAGAGCTCTCTGGATGGTGGAGGCCCCAGGGCTCTGGGCCAGGCCCCCTCTCTTCTCTATCACTGTCTTCCTTCCCTAGGCGACCTGGTCCCACCCCATACTTTAAATCCACTTACATGCCAGCACTTCTCACTCCTGGGTCTTCACTCTTCATGCTCACCTGTCCCTGGAATGGCATTTCCATGAGGACCAGGGATCTCAGTAACATCCCAGAGAGCTCAATAATATTCCAGCCAAAAGAGACCCCTTGACCACCCACCTCAAACCTGCCCTTCATCTATCTTTCCCCAGTGCAGGCCAAGAAGAAAAATCTATTAGAAGCAATGCACTGGTTCCATCAGCACATCATTCAGGCTTCCTCCCTTTCCTTCACCTCCTCGCCAGCTGTAACCACATCCTGACACTTAACCCACCTTCCTCCACCTCCACTGCTACCCACAAGCCGCTTGCAGTGTCCACCTGGACCACTGTGGGGCCCCCATGGTCCTCTCTGACTTCACTCTCATCCATCTCAGTCTACTCTCCCCCACTGAGGTAGGGGGTTCTTTATTTTATGCATATATTCAGTAAAGCTTTAATTTTACGACAGTTGACATTACATAAAAATTTGCCAAGATAGTATAGAGACTGAGGTGGGAGGATCGCTCAAGCCCAGGAGTTGGAGGTTACAGTGAGCTGTGATTGCGCCCCAGCACTCCAGCCTGAGCAACAGAGCCAAACGCTGTCTCAAAGAAGAAAACAATAGCACAGGGAGTTCCCATACACCTGGACCCAGTTTCCCCGGGAAATGTTAATATTTTACACTAGTAGGGTACCTTTCTCATAACTAACAACCAATACTGATATCTTATTAAGTAAATCCCATGATCGATCTGGATTTCATAACATTAGCCCTTTCCCTGGCCCAGGACCCCACCCAGGACCCCACATGCACTGAGCAGGTCTCCTTAGGTGCCTCTGGGCTCCTCCAATTTTCTGATCTTCCCTTTTTTTGATGAGCTTGGTGGTTCTGAGAAGTGCTTGTCAGGTATTCTGCAAAAGCCCTTCTCTTTGGGCTTGATGGTTTTCTCGTGGCTGGACTGGGGTTTCGGGTCCAGGAAAGGGGCCTTCTCCTTGCCTTACACCCAGGGCACATGCTAGTGTCATGCTGGTCACTGCAGTGAGCCTTCCTCACCTGGCTGAGGCACTGCCCATCAGGTCCCCCACACACTGTCCACATCGCACTTACAAGAAGTCACTGAGCGCAGCCCACGGAAGGCGTAGGGAACTTGGCTCCATCCTGAGAGAGGGGGCATCTCAGAGCGTTCTCTTTTAAAACCTGAATCAGGCTGGGCAAGTAATGCCAGCACTTTAGGAGGCTGAGGCGGGCGAATCACCAGGTCAAGAGATGGAGACCATCCTGGCCAATATGGTGAAACCCCATCTCTACTAAAAATACAAAAATTAGCTGGGCTTGGTGGCGTGCACTCATAGTCCCAGCTACTCAGGAGGCTGAGGCAGGAGAATTGCTTGAATCTGGGAAACAGAGGTTGCAGTGAGCTGAGACTGTGCCACTGCACTCCAGACTGGTGACAGAGTGAGACTCCATCTTAAAACAAAACAAAAACCTGAATCAGGTCCTGTTGTCCTCCACTGCTATCATGCTGAGAACCCCAGCCCCTGGCCCTGCTTTACACTGACTCAGAATGGCCTCTGGAAACCCGTCCTCGCCGCTGCTCCATGGCGGCCCCTTGCCGTGTGCTTCCCCTTGCCACACCTCAAACACGCCCATCTCGTGCCCACTTTGGCCTTCGTATTCCCACTGCCTAGCATAAAGGAGGCTCTCCTCAGTATCACCTGTAAAGTGAACAAGGGTGTGAATCCCCATCCTGTAGAAGAGAAGACGGTCTGGAAATGTAAGTCCTGGCCAAGGTCACCAAGGCAGGGCACCGTCGGGCTGGGCTTCAAACCCAGCCTCCTGGCCTCAGCACCTGAGGATACGGCCACTTCCCCTCCTTCCCTTCCCAGGACAGAAACTCCCAAGGTGGAGGCTACTCTGTGGGAAGAACCGCCCACTTCCTGGGAAGCAGAAGGAGAGGAGGGAGCACCCCCGCCAGGCCAGTCCTCAAGTCCTGGACCTCACTGACCCTCGCAGCAGGCACAGCTGGTGAGGCCAGGCATCCACGGCCACAGGAAGTCGCTACCACTGCCTGTGTTGCCATAGAAGAGCCCCAGGAGCTGCTCCTGCAGAGTCCCCAGCCTCACCATCCTCAGTCTCCACATAGAGGCGGAGTCCCAGGTCCTTGTGACGCTTCAGCAACCAGCGGTCACTGGCTGCTGTGATGTCCAGCACCAGCCAGTCCTCATCCCCAGCTCCAAGCGTCTGAAGATCCAAAAAGAACAAGTCAGACTCCCTGTGGACACAAAAGAACAATTAACTGGTGGCCGGCACAGCTGCCTCCCTGTCTCCAGGGCCCCGCCTAGGGGCTGTCACAGGAGCGTCTCCCACCTGGCTCTGGGCTGTGCCCCTTCTGAGCCTCATCTCACTGCCTCAGCAGAGGTGTACACATGGGGAAACTGAGGCTCAGTGACCTGTCCAAGACCCCACAGCCAGGATGGCAGGACAGGGATCTGAAGGCAGGACTGTCACTGGGGGTGGGAAGTAGAAAAGTTCCTTTTTAAAGTTTCCTTTCTTGTTAAAGAGTAAGTGTGCTAATAACTTTGTTAAGTTTAGATTGTGAGGTCAGGCTCCAGCCAACAGAGATTAGACACAGCAGTAAGGACGACCCCAAATGCGTAAGGGATAAATTTGTGTGTTTTCCATTGTTCGCTGCACTCTTACGGCAAAATGGCCAATGAGAGTGCCCTTCCTGCAGCCCAGGAAGTAAAAATTGTGTTGCTGAAATATCCTTTGTCTCAGGGCGAATTTTTCTTTGTGGCACCGAGCATCTATTTCCAACACTGGGGCTCTTCCCACAGTGCAGGGACCCTGGGCCAAGCACCTCTCCTGTCTCTGAGGCTCTCTTTTGGGTCCTCTGGGAAAGGCTCCACTCACCCCCACTCCCTGCTGGGCTGCCTTGACCATGAGACTATGAGGCGGGTTGGGTGGGGAGCACCCGGGCCAAGGGGAAGGCACCTGTTGAACTGCTCCTGGACCACCTGGAACATGCTGACGTGGAGGGTGCTGTTGAGCAGGTGGGTGCTGGGCACCTTGTAAATCCGGAACTCCGCGGCTGTCACCGCCTCCCCAGCTGGGATCTGTGTCAGGTCAAAGTGAAACTCCTTCCAGTGGGGCTCCTGGTGGCCCAGGGCACGGTCTCGCTCCACTAGAAGACAAAGCAGAGCTGGGCTGGCACTTGGAATGGCTCGAGCTCTGGAGTGGGCAGAGCCAGTGTGAGCCACTGCCCCAGCTGCCCACCACTCAAGGTACAGGGGGACCCAGGAGGTCTGGGTGGGGCTGACTTCGCCCTCTTCAAACGTGTGTTCCAGGCTTGGCCCCGGGGTATGGACAGGCCTGAGGGGCTGTTGCAGCCAGGCACACCCTGAGCCCTGCACCTGGCTGTGCTCAACAGGCCCCAGGCTCCACACCCCAAACTCCCATTGTGCGCCTTCTCAGCCCTGGCTGGTGCTGGCACCCACAGATGAGACAGAGGAGGGACCTTCCAGCTAAAGAGAAGATGGACATTGGACCCAAGGCAGAAAAAAGCCCTGACCCTGCAGGGAAACATGGTAGACAGGGACACAACAGATGGCATTTCAGGGGACATGGGCCATCCGGAGCCTGCCCACTGCCTGGAGAGGTGCAGCAGGGAGGGCTTACAGCTGACAGCTGAGCTGGGCTGAGGCCTGAGTGTGAATCTGCCATGGTGTCAGGGAGATGAGCCCTGCAGGGGCCGGCCAGCCAGGGCAGAGAGTCAGAGCGGAGGAGCCTGAGGGCAGGGCAAGCACCAGGAGACAGTGGAGAGCAGGGGACCCAAGTTTCCTTTCTGGAAGAAGGTGGAGGAAGATGGAGGGAAATGTGGAAAAGGAACAAGAAAAACCAGGGCAGGAATGACAACTCCCGGAGTGGCCCTGTCAGGTGCTAGAGAGGTCGAGGGTCCCACTGGGTGATGGGATGTGAACAGGTGGCATCTGAACTGGCCTGAAGGGAGGGATGGGGTCCTGGCAGGGAGGGCATTCTAGGGAGAGGGGACCTTGCATACACAGGGGTGGAGGTGCCCACAGGTCAGCAATGTTGGGGACTGTGCGTGGGCTCGGCTATGGCCTGCCTGCTGAGGGTGCAAGTCCCGGGCCAGGAGCCTGGGCTGTGCCTCTGGCCAGTGGGGAGTACAGGGACTGGGGGCAGCAGGTGGCAGCGTGTGTGGAGGGGAATAAGAAGACACTGCGGGCCGGGTGCGGTGGCTCAAGCCTGTAATCCCAGCACTTTGGGAGGCCGAGACGGGTGGATCACGAGGTTGAGAGATCGAGACCATGCTGGTCAACATGATGAAACCCCGTCTCTACTAAAAATACAAAAAATTAGCTGGGCACGGTGGTGCATGCCTGTAATCCCAGCTACTTGGGAGGCTGAGGCAGGAGAATTGCCTGAACCTAGGAGGCGGAGGTTGTGGTGAGCCGAGATCGCGCCATTGCACTCCAGCCTGGGTAACAAGAGTGAAACTCCGTCTCAAAAAAAAAAAAAGAAGAAGAAGACACTGTGGAGGTGAGGGTAGAGGCCAGGCTGGAGGTGAGATGGGCGGCAGGGCCCTGAGGCGGGGGCTGACCTTCCAGTCAAAGGAATGAAGCCCACATTTCCCCAGGTGCCTGGAAATGACCGGGACGCTACATTTAGGGCAGTCTCACTTTTCCCTTCCATCCCTTTTAAACTCTAGAAATCTGTGTTTCCGGAAGGCAGGGGTGGGAGCCGCCTAGTGCCTGCCCCAAAACCCAACACTGAGATTTCAATGATATGTTTGTGAGTCTTTTTAAACATTCTCTCTGGTTACTGGGCTCAGTGACCACAGTCAGGTTTGTAAAAGCACCAGGCTGTGCGGGCTGCAGCGGATGTGGGGGCACTTCCTGTCCTCGCGGTGGGGACCTGGTCCAGTCATGGGCAGGCGAATAGCTGTGCCGGGTGGGGGATGGGGCCAGATGTGTGTGGGCAGGAGGTGATGGCCGCTCATTCCAGCCCAGGGCGGAGCAGGAATGAACCTGCCTTGTCCCATAGCACCCGAGGGTGCCTGAGAGCCGGGCTGCTCAGTTGCTGTGATGCAGGTGATGTCTGGGTCTCTGCCCTGTAGGCAGTCATCGCTAATGGCAGAATTCTGGACCTCCTGGCATGAATATCTACACACATGTGCTCTCTTCCCTAACACGCTTACGCAACACGACTTGGATGACAGTTTCATTGGGTTCAGGAACTACCCACCCCAGTCTGCTAATGGTGTGTAGGAATCAGAAAAGGGCCCTGGCCCTGCAGGGAATCCTGGTAGACAGGGACATGAGCTATGGCATCTCAGGGGACACGGTTCGTCCAGAGCCTGCCCACTGCTGGGATGGAATGTGCAGCCAGGGAGGGATTTCAAGATGAAATTGGTTCATGCTGTTGGCTCTCACAGGGCATGACACAGTGAAGGAACAGCTCAGTTGCACCTTCTCCCGTTCTCATTCAAAGCATGGCTAAGTGCGTCTGTCCCAGGGCACAGCAGGGCTACTGGGTGGCTCCTGGGGCTCACTGGTATCCCTGTCAGCAGGCTACATGCTGACTTCATGTGGGATCTGAGGACTCAGGGAACAGCCCACAAACCCATCAGCTCTGGGAGGACACCGGTGCTCTGCAGCCTCCCTCCCTGCCTGACCTGGGGGTCTTCCCGGGGTGGCTCAAGAGTCTTACTCAATTGAACTGATCCCAGTTCCAAACCGCCTTGCCGTGGGCTTGTGAAATCGCTAAACTACCCAGGAATTCCAGCACAGGAAATTGCCTCCCCTGGCTGTTCCAGGCAAACCTGGAGGTTGGGAAATTTTTAGGAAAATAATGATTTTTATCAGAAACGGATAAAACTTCCTGGGGTGTGGCACTGCAGTTGGCATTACTGTGATGGGGCAAAGAGTACCCTTTCTTCGCTGGAGCTCTGTGGGTCTGCAGCCGGCCAGTGGTTGTGCCTTTGGACCAGGAAAGTCATTTCTCAAAAGCTGGGGCTGAGGAAGAGCATTTGCTGGGGCCGGGATTTTCCCCTATGAAGGTTCATGGGCAGACAGCCCCTGCTTTAGCCTCTAAGACAGCACCGAAAAGGGTAGATTCTCTGACCAGTAGCTGGGCTCCTGGCCCAGCCCTGACCCTGTGGGTGACCTGTGTCACCTCAGTCTCCTTGTCTGCAGAGTGGGGATTCTGTCCTTCCCTGCCAGGGCTGTGGAAGGGCAGGGGTCATGGGACAGAAGTGGTGGCCATGCCTCCGGAGGCTAACGGCTGCTCTCCCAATTTAAAGTGTCAAAGTGACAACATCTAGCCAGGACCATCAGGAGGCTACGTCTGAAACTCAGTGGCCATGTGGGGAAAGGGAGATGTTCAGTTTTGTTTTTTTCCTAAGTAAAAATGTGAAATGGGCTGGACACGGTGGCTCACACCTGTAATCCCAGCACTTTGGGAGGCTGAGGTGAGTGGATCACAAAGTTAAGAGATCGAGACCATCCTGGCCAACATGGTAAAACCCCGTCTCTACAACAACAACAAAAATAGCTGGGCATGGTGGCGTGTGCCTGTAGTACCAGCTACTCAGGAGGCTGAGGCAGGAGAATTGCTTGAACCCAGGAGGCGGAGATTGCAGTGAGCCAAGATCGTGCCACTGCACTCTAGCCTGGCGCCTGGCAACAGAGCAAGACGCTGTCTCAAAAAAAAAAAAAAAAAAGTGTGGAATGAGAAAAAATACACCAAAATCTATCAGTTACCTTTCTCCTTTCACCTGCCTCACCTTTGTCAAGGCACTTAAACCTTCTGGGCTCGGTGTCCACACCTACAAAACAGCACTTTGAAACAGAGTCAAATGAAAACTGAAGAGCCACGTTTGTTGACTGTAGACAGTGCTTGGTTACCATCAAGTGAATGCTTCTCCCACACCATTTGGGAGCATTTCCTTATTGGTGCAGCCCCAGCCCCCACCTTCCCACAGAACCGAGGTCGGAATCTCCCAAAGATGCCGGGCCGAGTGGCAGCACCTCAGCAATGCCACTGGGACTGTCCCCCAGTTCTGGCTCAGACAGAAAGCACCAAATACAATCTCCTCCCACGTTCCCACATGTGGAAATGGAACCCTGACTCCTGGGTAGGCGCCTCCCACTACAGTGAACCACCTCTGTCTGAAAAGAGCATAAAAACCATGCGGAAACCAGCCAAAAACCTGGGAGGCCGCTAGACAGGTACTGAACACACAGCACAAAATGACTGTCGCTGCTTCCCGCCAGCTGCTGGTATTTGAGGGTCCAGGGAGGGAATTCATGGGAAAGGCCAAGGTCTGCACAACGTGATTTCTTGGGTTTTCCCAGTAAAATTCTGCTGCCAGTTGTAGGATTGGGAAGTTCATCCCAGGGCTCCCTGTCGGATTCAGATAGGCTGGGGGGGTCCATGTGGGAGATACTCTCTGGCGAATGTCCCGATCCCAACCATCTGAGATACATCCTGCCAGGAATCCCCTCTCCATGTTGGCCCTGGGAGGAACCACTGATGTGTAGAGCAAGGTTTCTGGGCAGTAAATGTATTTCCTCCGTCTGTAAAATCTGTGACAGAGATCCTATTTTTGAGGGTTCCATAATTTCACTTTTGGGCATGAAGGAGGAGGTCCCTGACTGTTGCCTTCTCACGGTCTGAAGGCTTTATAAGAACACTGACTTCCTCATTCATTTTTCCTGGTCATAGTCAGGAATATGAATTAATTCATTATTCAGCACATTTTAAAGCAGCACTAATTGTGCACAAGCCATTACTGAGGTGCAGGAGACACTGCAGTTAGATGGGGCAGCCCCTGCCCCCGTGGGGTTTACAGCCTTGCAGGGAAGTCAGTTAACAAACAAAGGAACAAGATCAGCATATGTGCTGAGTGCTACGAAGCACACAGAGACGGTGGGCCTGGGAATAAAGCAGGGAGTGCGGGGCTGCTTTATTTATGTTTTTAACTTGATTTTGAAATACTTTTAGATGATTTAGATCTGAAGGGAGTATGAACAGTAAAGAGACTTCCCATACCTTCTTTCCCTGATAGCTTCCCCGAACGATAGCATCTAATATAACCAGTCTGTAGTATAAGAAAACCAGGAAATTGATATTGATGTAAAACTGTTAACTAAATCCAGACTT